GACCTCCTGGTCTGTTCCTTGTTAAGGAGCGAAGCGGAGCCGCGCCGGAGACCGGGGCCCTCAACTCAGGGGCTTCGCCACTGATTGTCCAAACGCAATTCTTGTACGAGTCTGCGGCCAACCGAGAATTGTGGCTGGACATCTGTGGCTGAGCTCCGGGCGCAACAGGGGCGGGAGCCGCAGGGACCGAGCTCGTGAGGGCGAGACCCTCGCTCGAGCGGCGGCTGGCCGGCCCCAGCGCCGGGATCGCAGCCACCCCGCCGCCAAGGAGGGATGCCGGTCCCTGCCGCCAGCGCCGCCATCCTCATCCTTGTCGTCCTCCTTCTCCTCTGCGGGTGACCAGTCCTGGCTGAGGGGGTCCTCCAACCGATCGCGTCGTTTCCCCTTTTTCAAATTCCGGCCGGAATGAAGCTGGCACGCGGCAGTGGGACGAATGTGGTCCCGGGAGCCCGCTGTTGGCGGGCCGGCCGCAGGAAGTCGGAGCGAAAGAAGATGCTGATGCCGGCAGAATGCGCTAACTCGTTTTGAATTGGTTCTCACCTACCCCCACCAATACCCCAATACAAAAAAAGTCTCAACAGATCCCTAATTTCCCAATAAACCCACCCCTCCCGCCAGGCCCTCCGTGGGCTGAGCCTCCTCCAGCCGCTGCCGGAGTGAAGTGTGGGGAGTGATGCATCCCAGCCCGGCAATTGCCTGGGCTTTGGAAACGGAACTTGGGTAAACGAATCCTTTTCATTAAAGACAAATCTTCGGAGATAGTGGGGCTTATTCGTTTATTTCCTCACAAGCGGGAGTCAGGAGACGCCTGGGGAAAGGAGCAGTTGGGCACGGCTGGGGCTGAGGTCAGGTAACCTGACCCCTCAGAGGCAGGGCTGAAAATGACCCAAAATGCTGTGGACCCTGGCTCCGAGCTGGCATCCCTCCCTGCCTCCCTCCGAGGGGTCCTTCTGCCTTACTCCTCTTCCTCACCACTCATTGGGGTGCAGTGGAGGAAGGGTTATCACATATCGACCCCCCTCAGCCAATAAAGGTGAGAGGAATCCTCACCCAGCTTCCAGGACTTGGAATCCTGGGTGGGACAACGGCCACTCCAGTGGGGCTGGAGGCAGGGAAAGACGTCCAGGTTACAGGGGTCAGGGGGCAGGCTGATCCTCTAAAGTTGAGGCTGTGGGGGGCCATTTCAAGTCCCTTGCTGTTCCCTACCATGGAGACCCTGACATCAGCACCTAGTGTGGGCTGTCGATCAGCCTCTCTAGACAGCACTTTGGACCCCAACACTGGCCTTCATGTGCACCCAGACCAGCTCCTACCAATAACCCCAATATGGCTGCCTCTACCCACACAGGTCCAGAGGCCCCCCACCTGCAGAGTGGAGGGGGGCGTGGGTCCCTTATGCCTTGAGAATGATGCAAGCACATCCCCCACAACTCCAGCACACTGCTGGGACAACCAACTGGCATTTCATCCCCATAGAGTGAAAGAAAGTTCACCATAAACCATTGCATTAATGTTTTGGGCAGGATGATGTTACTGCTCTAATATTTATTTGTTTATTTACGATCTCCCTCCAGCAACCAAAGCTTTTCTCCAGGTCTTGGGAAGGAGGGGCTCAGCAGTCTTATCTATGCACCCCCCACTCTGGGTTCTGGGGCTGCTGGCTGCAGCTGGTGGGACAAAGCCTGGCCTCAGACATGTGAGGAAGCGTGTTTCCTGGGGCCCAGACTGGTCAGCACAGACTGGCTCTGCCACCCCTTCTCCAGACGGCCTGTCAGGTCACCCCCTGCAAGACAGGCTGGGTAGTCTGGGTTTTAACCCCTGCCCCCTTTTCGGGTGAAGGGCGGCTCTGAAAGCCCTGGGTGGGGGCAGAGAGGGTGGACCAGAGACCATGGCTGAGTGGTTGTGGGGTGCCATTGGTTTCTACGGATAAAGCTCCAGGCAAGGCTAGTAAACAACTTAGTCTTTTATTTGCCCAAGGCCAGCTGTTGCAGGCACCGAGGCCCCAAGACTTCCAGAGGGATGGAGGGAGGAGGGGTGAGCCACCCTGCCTACCAGGTGCTGCCTGCCCCCATCCTGCTTCTTGCAGGCGGTGGGAAGGGAGATAAAGTCTACATTTGTGGCATCAGTATCAGCCCTGTTTTCTGATACTATAATTATTCAGTTGTTGTTGAGGAGGAAACTGAGGCACGCTGACCCTTTCAGGCCTCTATTTGCTAGTCCAAGGTTAAGCCTACTCCCTCCTCCCAGAATGAGCTGCAGGCAGCCTTTTGCTGGGGGAGGGTCTCGGGAGCCCATCTGGTGGCCTGTGGGGAGGGGGGGGAAGGCCAGCCAGGGTCAAGGGCTGTGGATGGGGGGGAGCAGAAGGAGGGGTGTGGTTGGAAGAGCAGCTGCTGGGTGGGGGGGAGGAGGGTTAGCTCTGAATAGGGGACCCCAGCTGGGGTCCCATAATGATATCGGTGGGGGACAGGCAGAGCCCTCTGCTGTCCAGATGGGGAAACTGAGGCGGGGACTCCTTCAATGTTTGAGAAGGGAGGGGCCTCTCATCAGCTATTCAAGGCCATTCATCTTCCCCATGAAGACACTGTGACCTGGAGCTGGAGCGCCTTGTCAGTGGTCACTCCGTGTTTAGACTGAGACACAGGAGTGGAAGGCAGCTGGGTCACCTGGCCCCAGAGCCCCTCTCTACTCCTGTCAAACCAGAGGGGCACCTCCCCCACCTCAGCTGCTGGGAGAGGGAGTGCTGGGCTCAGGCACCTGCCCGCCTGCCTGCCCCTGCTCACGTGCCTGCCTGCGAAA